CGTGCAGTTGAAGCCCTATGTTCCACTAGGAACCCAAGGGAATAATAATAATATGAATAATTTTTTATGCTGATACAGCTATCTGTATAGCTGTAGAAGCAGTTTAAAAAGGCTAAGTACAAATTCCAAACTCATGCTCAGAGCAAAGCTACTCAATGAGTGAATTATCCTTGGATTCAGTCATGTTTCTTTTCTACTGTCTTCAAATTCAGGGTGACGACATAATGACTAGCAGACGAGATATCAACGGGATCAACAAATATCCCTAATCGTAACAGATATCTTCACGAATAGTTAGAAACATTATTCTAATGCAAAGGTGTGTTAAATATATGTGGATGACACTCTCACTATGTTATAAACAAACAAAACGTACCACTAACTTCTTCACACATATAAACTCGGTAGTAGAGGGGATACAATTTGCACTTGAGTTGGAAAACTACCACGAGGAATTAGCTACGTCTTTTTGTGAAATAATTATCATGAAGTTTGATCATGAACTAGCTTCGTCCCACTCTAAGACTCTTCATCAGCACTCACACATGATTCCACAAGGGATCTAACCTAGAACTTTCAGGACCAAACAAGGTGAGATGGTCAACCATATTCAGCCAATGGGACAGAAACCAGTAGTTCACCAATTTTAACTTCTGATGTTTAGCGATTTATAACGTGACTGCCAGCCAGTGTCATTGGCGAATATTTGCTCTCACATCCGACCTAGTGAACTCCACCGGCCATGACTTCATCCTGTAGTGATTCACTAGTCAGAAATGAATTAATTTTCAAGCGTTAGTTTGTGGGAATTTGATTAATGTATAGTTTAGCCATGAAATGACTTTATTTGTAATCTGAAGGTCCTGGGTATGATCCCTGGTGAGGTAATAGGTGCGTATCGCTGAAAAGTCGCAAAGTAGGACGAAACAGCCGCTCTTCGTTCTCTGATTTTCTCTAGTTTATGTTGGTATACAACGAAGTTTACGCGCTGAGATTAATCCAAATCTCTACAAAATCCCAACAATGTGAATATTAATCTTTAGCATTTTTTGACTGAACACTAGTCAGTAATTAGTGTCATGCATTCAGTCCTTGGTGTTGGTACAGACTTAATTTATCCATCAGTCAAGTTTGCAATATAGCCACCATACCACTAGGTGACTGCTCGCCATCACACCGTGCACTGTGAATTGTCGTCATTAGATGGTTGGAGACAATCAGCAGGAATCCTTGGGTGCGGGTGCTAATCTCAGGACGGACATGAGTTTCTTCAAGGTATTTGCAGATACGCCTTGCTGACTGGTGGTAAGCGGCAACTAGCACAAGACCTAGGTGCAGCTGGGCTGCCTGCCAATTACCTTCAATCATCTAGCACCTATAATCTTTAGCTTATTGATGGCAACTGGATGGAGCTGTGTACTGGGAATTTGTGACCAGTAAGTTTCACCATATCAACATGAAGTGGGCGGTCATCGAAATCAGTGGTTAACAGTGGTGCTATATCAGGAATTGATGAAGTTAGAGTCCACGGGGCATTGAATTCTGACCCAAGTAGCTAAAGTATCAACGAGATGGACCGCATAAACTTAAATTTCCATGACCTATTCCTGACAGCGACACTGATGCGAATTCAACATAGCGAAAATATTCATTCAAACATCTAGAAAAAACAAAATAATTGAGCAAAGAATATCCTTTTCGATAATTTCCTCCTCTTCTGGCTCTACAATTATATATATGCATGTTTATATACATAGAATATTCCAGATTAAAAGTCAATAACAATATTGGTGTTTTTAAATACTATCGATTTGTTAAGTAAGATCAACGAAATTACGGTTCACGAAGCATAAAAATGTAATGGCAAATAGAATATGAAATAAAATTAGGGAAATTTCCATAACAAATTGAGGATCATTAAAACCTTGATTGATGGCCATCGGGGTAAGGAAAGTGTCTGAACCAACTTCTTCTTTTGTATACATAAGTTAGTTTTGTTAGTGTGGTATGTGGTAGGTAACTTCGAAAGCCGCCTTGTTAACATCGATCTTGTGTTCTATATCCATGAGATGAGACAGAATAGAGCTATGAATGGATTTTGCTTGTCCTTTACTTAACCACTATGCAGGATGATGCTTGGAAATCCGACGAGAAACACGCCCAATCGTATCGCCTATGTAACTGGCTCCACAAGAGCAATCGAATTTGTAGAGACACATAGAAGAGGCGAAATTAGTTTTTTTCTTGATTACAGCTTGATTCCACACCGTTTTTTGGTACAAGCATGGAATTTTCAGCATGTGATATCGGTAGCCGAGATTTTGCAGTCCGACCATTGATATCAGGAGTGCGTCGACAGGGGATCGAACTCCGGACCATGTGCATGGTCGGCGAGAGTCCTAACCACTGTGCCACCAACGCACACATTGGTTTATCTTTAACTCCTGAACGCAAAATATTGGGTGGTTTTGAAGACACCGCATAATTCAGCAGTACTGAATGCTCTTTTTACCGCATTCCTAGGACGGTGTGTTTGTATCTCACTGATATTATCCCCGAGGAAATGAAGTTGTAAGAACAAAGGCCTTTTTCGGAACTGCCGGTACTTTGGCCTGCCTTGACTTTTGATTCATATTCGGATCGATGAATTTCTCTGGATAACCATCCTCACTCAGCAACTGTCTAATAATTTTAAGCTCTTCATTAAAACATTTATCAGAACAGATCTCTCTTGCTCTGTGGACCAAACACTTTATAAGACTGTTTTTGTATTTAAAAGGCTTGAAGCTGAAAAAAGGAGTATACTGACCAGTTGATAGAGGTTTTCCATATACACTTTTATTTGTTCCCTCCTCTTTTCTAGCCATAATGCCGTCTAGGAGTCCAATATTAGAGTCTCTTTCTTTCTCGATGGTAAAGTTTATTGCGGGATGAACATCGTCAAAAGTTTTCCAAGATTTTCTTCGCTTCATCCTCATTTTTCAATTATGGAGTGGCAACCAAGATTAATTTTGTTCGTGGAAAATTTAAAAAAACTAACTTTATTTTCAAGATAGGTGTTATTTAGAAGGAGAATAATGCATAATTTTCAATTAAATCATTCAACTCAGAGAACAAAACTACACCAAAATTTTTATTCCACACCGTAGATGGCCAGTTGAGTAATTAGTTAACCTATCTAAATCCAAGTGGTGATAGCTTAAATATATTGATTTGTGTGTAACACCTCCAACAGACTCTTGACTTCTCCTCCTTGGTGTATCTGATACCTCCGGAGCATAAGGGCTGCGTCGTGGCAAAGCCTAAGGGACAACGTCTTGATGCTGGTTAAATACGGCCTGTCTGAAAGTAATTTTTGCAGTTGTGTTCGTATTAAGATCATATCTGCGACTGTGATTGGCCGCAAGATAAGTTAGGATATACAATTTTCGGTATCGACATTTCCTAAACCTCACTCGCTTTAGGGCAGAAAGTTAGCATAGTTGGTTTCCTAATCGTCATTTGAGGGAAACGTCTTACTACTGTTACATCTGCATTCACTAGATGTGCAGTTTCGCCCACAGACCCTCAGTACAGTGTAAATGACTTACACTGTGTTGGTAATCGCTTTTTGTCTAACTGCTACAGGAAAAACGTACATTCTAGTATATGGTGTGACCTACAGTTACATTAGTTCCAGACAAGGTAGCTCGCTGCGTCATTGAGATATGTAGGCTTAACCACCAAGTTAAGGTAGCACCTATCGGTTGGGATAACTGATAAGCTAAGTGATCACCTAGAACAATAGTTTATTGTAATTTCATATTAGACAAAGAAGTTGGTTTGTGTTGTTTGGTTGGAGGATTTCATCATCAACTGAAATCAGTTAGAGGACCACTGGAAAACCAACGGGGAGTACTGTCAGACAGCTGTTTCGTTCCACTAGTTTGGGACTCCTCAGCAGTACGCACCCACTACAGGAGGTTCGAACTCGGGACTTAATGGTCTTCGAGGTCACCTTGTAACCAGAAGCTTCTGTCTTCGAACCCCAGCCGGTGGGTACGTACTGATGAAGAGTCCCAAACTCGGTTAACAAAACAGATGTCTGGAAGTACTCCTAGGTGGTTTTCTAATGGTTCTCTAACTGATGTTAGCTCATTATGGAATCCTCCAACCAATCAGACAAAATCCCTACTAAACCAATACTTAAAAATTTTTATTGTGACCATATATTTTTGAATATACTACTGAAATGTATTTTATTTAAAGTCTTATTGAATATTCCCATAATTAATTCAGAACAAAATATTTAGAGCGAACAATTGTTTCCAACAAATCCTCCATTAACACTATAAATTCCTTTCACAATTTTCTTTTCTTTTCTTCTTCTTCTATTCCTCTGTTTCATTGACAATCGTTCATTTTCGACTTTTATGATTTCATGACCTTTCTTATGATTTCCATTACCTTAACTTTAAGTAATGCTTTCCTAACTTGCTATCTTATTTACAAAATCCTGTTCATTCCACTTCGTTATATTCATTATTATTTGTCAATCATTCACCAATAGTGCTTGTAATTTTACACCATATCATCGTTATTATTTTACTGTCGTTATTTTCAACCTTGAACTTATGTCTAGACCGCCTCATTCGTTGGTTTATTTTCATAGTGTCTCACACACCCTGATTACACTCACTCTCGAAACCTGTATTTTCTGTTGACTATATTTATATATATACACACATCATTAAATTAAATTACTTCATCTGATTTTGTCCCATGTTCTCATTGACCATGCATATTAAAAAACTATCTGACTATTGTTCCATCCCATCTTATACTTGTTCCACATTACACTTTCTGATATGATTCTAATTTGCCTTTACTGGCTATTGTATGCTTAAATTAATGGATTTATAATTGTAGAGCCTTAAGAAGAATTTATTGAAAACAATTGTTCGATCTAAATATTTTGTTCTAAAGTCTTATTATTATTATCTCTTTGTATTTTTCTATAGGCTGTATTAGAAAAAGATATTCTCTGGTTTGATCAACATTCATCCGGTGATATAATCAATAATTTATCAGAGAATATTAATTCCATAGAATTCGGTATCGGTACAAAACTCGGTGAATTTACACAGAATATGAGTGGATTTTTAGCTGGTCTTATTATTGGCTTTATTGTCAAATGGAAATTAGCTCTGGTTGCATGTGCTACCCTCCCGTTTGTTGTCACAGCTTTCTCCCTATTCGGTGTTGCATTTAAATATTTTCATACAAAAGAGTTGAATGCTTATTCACGAGCGAGTACAGTATCAAGTGAAGTATTATCATCGATTAGAACTGTGATTGCTTTCGGTGGAGAAGAACGTGAATCAATTAGATATCAAAGGGAATTATCTTCAGCTGAATCAATGGGGATTAAAAAAGCAACAGCATTTGGAGGTGGTAAGTGAAATGAATTAAAAAAGCGCAAATTATTCAACCTTCTTTTGATCTTTTCTCCTAATGAAACTGACTTTATTGATTAAATATGGTCATTAAAAATGGCGGATTAGTGGGCAAAAGAATATATACCCTGTTTTTATGTCAGTTTTGATTTTCCCCTTGACTGACTAGACCGAAGTATTCGGCCTATGTTAACATGTCGGCTTATATGACAGAAGATCTTGGGTTCGAACTCCAGCGTGTACTGTTTTATTTTATTTAATTTTGTTAGAGCTTGATTCCACATAGTATTTTGGTACAAGTATGGAATTTTCAGCATGTGGTATCGGCCAACCGTTGAATTCAGGTGTACATCGGCAGGGTATCGAACCCCAGACCATGTACATGGTTGGTGAGCGTCCTAACCGGTCTGCCGCCGACGCGCCAAGTCCACCAAGTTCAGTGTAAGGACAAATACTCGATGGTGACATTGGCTTGAGGGGTGATGCTATATATCACGGATCAGTGGAAGTTGAAATTCATGGACGGCTGGATTCGGTTTAATCCCTGGCAATGTACTGATGAAGAGTCGCAAACTACGGCAAAAACGGCTCTCCAGTACTCCTTGATTTTTCGATGGTTCTGTAATTGACCCCAGCTTGTGATCAAACCTATATCCATAACAATTAAAGTATTATTGTTAGTGACAACATTACTGTTTGCTTGAGTAACAACAAATCCACAGACTCAATAGATTACAGTTCAAAACATCAGTATAACGCTAAACCGAATATTAGATAGTTGGAGGCAATCGGCCACAGGAAGCCCAGCCAGCTGAACCTAGGTTTCGTGCTAGTTGCCACTCACCAGTCAGCAAGGCGTATTTGCAACCTTGAAAAAACCCATTTCCCTTCTGGGATTCGAACCCGCGGGACCCGGTGCAGCAGTCAGAGACGTTACCACCGAGCTATTCGGGCTCGTGATTGACCTCCTGTAGGACTGTAGTGGGTATTTACATTGGACACTAGTAACTAGTAGCTTTCAGTCTGCACCAAGGAAAGGAATAGACACGTCACACTAGTTACTAGTGTTCAATGAAAATGCTAAACCGAATGCCAGATAAATTCAGGAAAGTAATACAAAATTTATGTGCGTCGGTGGCACAGCGGTAGAATGCTCACTAACTACGCATGTGTTTCGGCGTTCGATCCTTGGCCACCAACGCTCTCCTTTATCTCTCTAGGCCGGTAATAAGACTGTTGAAGAGAGGAGGTTGGGCATGAGACTAATGACCCCCAATCCCGTGAAATATGAACAATGCTACCGAAACTTCAAAGCTCTAGTTTAAAGCCCGATGTGTTCCACCGGGAACGTAAAGGAATAAAAAAAACACAGAATTTATAGCTTCCACCATAGTCCAGGGTATCAACAGTAACTGGACCTGCTTCTTGTGCATTCAGACCTCCGGTTGTTTTAGACGAATTTCAGTCGCCTCTTCTGTTAGAAGTATTCGTGACCTAGAGGTTTTTGACAACTTATTCGTTAGCTCATAGATAGTAGAAAGAGACTCTTCAATGTTATCTGCTGTATGGCCTTTTTGGATCAGATGGTGTATTATCGAACTATTGATAGTTTTCACTACACTTTTGTCGAACCAGACTGGTAAGTGTTCCTGACCATGAATAATTAAGTTCTTAGAGCAACAGCCAGTGTAAATGGCTCCATAGGAGCAACTGAATTGATGGAAAAAATGCAAGAACAAGTGCCTAGTCTCAGTTATTCCTCTACCAGTTAAGAAATCACAGTTGGTCGTGAGGAAAATATGAGTTGCAAGCCTACCGGCATTAAATGTTCTTCGTATTGATTTCCTGAACATGTTGGTGAAAGTTGTTCCTGGTAAACATCACCTTTGTAATGCAGTCGCATATACGGAGGCCTTTTCAGTGTCTGATTCTTGTTAGCAGATTTTATTTCGGTGTGGTTGCGTTCTCTGAGCTGGATGGTTTGGTTGCGAAGCTTTCATTGCTCTACTGAGCAACATCTTCAGCGCATACTTCGATGTGAAGTGAGCTTTTAGAAATCTCTATGAGTTTATAAGTCATCTCTTCTAGTAACCTTGAACGTGATTGGTTGTTTTCGTGTGACATTTCATCCCCTAGTTTGCTTGTCTCAGTGCTGGCTGTTTCTTTGGTCTGAATGTCGTTAGTCATTCCTTCTGCTAACCTTGAATGACTAACGACATTCAGACCAAAGAAACAGCCAGCACTGAGACAAGCAAACTAGGGGATGAAATGTCACACGAAAACAACCAATCACGTTCAAGGTTACTAGAAGAGATGACTTATAAACTCATAGAGATTTCTAAAAGCTCACTTCACATCGAAGTATGCGCTGAAGATGTTGCTCAGTAGAGCAATGAAAGCTTCGCAACCAAACCATCCAGCTCAGAGAACGCAACCACACCAAAATCATCCACCTGAGCTACAAATCTTCTCTATTATATCTAGATTTTATTTCTTTTGATGCGTGCTATCGCTTATACATACCTTTGGAGTGTAATCCCGTGTGACCAAAACAATGTGTTAACATTACTGATAACAATATTTCTTTAAGGCAATAATAACAGTTTGTGCAGAATAAAACGGCATCACCACTGATTTCGTTGGCTTCTCATCAGCTTACCTGCTTACAGCCCTAAGGCGTCATTAAGTTTATGTGCAGAAACAATTTTAACATACTTACTTTCACAGAAACTTCGTTTTTAAAGAAAAAATCAGTATATGCATATAATGGTAATAACAATAATAGTAATAGTCACTTTATTCCAAACAATAACAAACTCACAGAATGGAATTTTTGGAGTTACACAATCAAATGAAAGAGAGGGTGGAAATATCCAGTTACCAGAATGGCAAGGAAAGACCAAAGATAACTGCTTCTTTCTGAACAGTTAAATCGGGTTTCAGGCGATTTTAATAGAAATTGCTTCGTCAAACTTGAGGAGAATTAAATTTTCTTGTCTATTGATAATTTGAAAGGAATTCGCGATTTCCACCTGAAGATTCCTATCAAAGCGATACCTGGTAATGGCACCATTATAAACGTTTGTTCCCATGAGACGTGGTTTTTTGATACATGTTCAGAAAATCGGAGGTGTGCCCTTCTTTCTGTTCTATCAGTATAACTGCTCTCGCAGATACACTGTTGGAATTAACATGAGAAGGGTATCTGTCAACTTTCGATAGCGCCAAAGAGTATGTTGTCCGACAGACAAGAACCAACTTGACTTCATGATAGGCTCTGGCTAGTGACGTCCTCAATCTTCTGTTAACTATTTCTGTAACATTTTCGCCTTTATAATCAAGTTGAATGAAGACAGGCTTTTTTCCCGCTGTGATTTATTTGATGTTTGAGCCTTCACATCTTCCGTATTTGTTGATGAATTTCTAGGGGTAACTGTTGTTTTTTTCAACATCTTTTCGAGAATCATAAATTCTTACTCTAATTTCTCTGCAGAGCATATTCTCCTAGCTCTATAGTACAGAGTAGTGACTAGTGCTCGATTAATACCATTCGGAAGAAAACTGTCAAAATGTAGGTATTGTCCTTTCCATGTAGGCTTTCGGTAAATTGACCTCTGGAGATTACCATCTTCTAGGCGTTGCATGGTTATGTCAAGGAAATGAAACTTTCCATCATTTTTCTGTTTCACAGTAAATTCAATATTTTTATGTACCTCATTGAATAATCCGAGTAGTAGGTAGGAAGCATGACTTTCATTGTTGCACACTACAAATGTGTCATGTACATGTAGGAACAACAAAGTTCGGCGAAGAGTCACTTTTCGGCGGCGAATTCACTCACTTACCTGTACAATCGCATTTATATATAATTATTTGGTGTGTATATGTGTATGTGTGTACATTAGGACTGTCAAACAAAAATAATTAGGTCATCAAAATGTTTCTGGAATGTGATGAATAACCAAAATTTCAATTAAGGAAGTGGGTGAAGATTGGTAAGTATTGACAAGCGTTGCATAATATGAAATAGGATGCTAATGGAGACAAGTGTCCAAAAAATAAATTATGTAATAGGTAGAAAGAGTAAATAAAGGGTTGGTTAAGAAGAAGATGTTACTAGGATGCCATTCAAAAACTCAAAAAAACAAAAGAGAAAACAAAACATTATTAACAAAGTAGTAGAACTTCGAATTATACCCAAGGTAGAAGGAAGAGGGTCGGAGAAGTTTCTTCGTTGTGCATAAATCAGGGTTTCCCATCCGGATCGTTAATGCCTCACTCGGCAGTGCAAAGTATACGGAAGCTTACCATTTTCGGGAGGCTTCTCTTGACTTTTTAGACTACTTTGAATGAATTCTCTGTGCATATTGAGTGACCGGTGTTGACAATATGTTCAGTTATACAGCACTCTTTATTGATCCACTGTTACCTTTTCGCAGCCAAGGGGGATAATGTTCTTTGACTCTTTTGGATAAAACACTTCGTCTACATATCGCCAAAAATCCCTTTGTGTATGATTATTACTGTTTGGTCTAAAATGACTGATAATGTAAGTGTAGAATTGGTTACAGGATTTCATCATGAGCTGACATCGGTTAGAGAACCATTGGAAAACCAGCTGGAAGTACTAGACAACTGTTTCGTCCTAGTTTGGGGCTTTTCAGAGTACGCGCCAATAGGGGCTCGAACCCAGGACCTTCTGGTTACAAAACTAGCGAGCTCGTAGACCATTAAGCCAGTGGTTCTTTCACCAATTTCAGCTCATGATGTAATCCTGTAACCAATCAATCAAATCCCTACAAACCAATACTTGAGTAAGTGTAGAACTTGAGCATTGTGGTAGAATGTAACTCCATATTAGATAAGTTTATTTTTAAATATCACACACAGTGGTGATGCTCTATTAACAACTGAATGACAAGGTTTCGAGCACAGTTTATTGCTCATAATCATAACATATCACCTTGATATGATTGCATTACATTCTACCACAGTGCC